AGTATAAAATATCAATTTTACTCCAAAAATTACATATTTTTCCTTATCCTGACTCATGCTCTTTTGCTTGTAGAATCCTACGGAAAAGGAGGTGGGAATATATAATACTTTGGATTTTAATAATTAGTGATTTGAACTGTGATGATTGTAATAACCCTATGGGAACTTCATAAAGACACTGAACTGATGAATTCCTGCTGCTAACTTATCAGCTGCCATATAAAGGTTATTACAATTTACTTATTATGATAAAGTATATATAACATTAATACAATGCTTAAGACTAATAGACTTAAGCTTGTTAATATGATAGTATAAACTCCTTAGAGTTTGTTAGCTAAAATACTTTATGATATAAACATAGTACTGAGCTTAAGATATGATTAAACTTAAGCTAAATATATAATAGCAAAAACTCCTTAGAGTTTATTAGCTAATATACTTTTATGATATAAACATAGTACTGAGCTTAAGTTATGATTAAACTTAAGCTATATATATAATAGCAAAACTCCGTAGAGTTTGTTAGCTAATACATTTTAATGTAACCATAATGCTTAAGATATGATGAAACTTAAGCTAAATATATAATAGCAAAAAACCCTTTAGAGTTTGTTAGCTAATATACTTATATGATATAAACATAGTACTGAGCTTAAGATATGAAAACAAAACTTAAGCTACATATATAATAGCCAAAAACTCCGTAGAGTTTGTTAGCTAATACATGTTATAATGTAACCATAATGCTTAAGATATGATGAAACTTAGCTGTAAATCCTTTCTTTGCAGCATAATTGACAAACTGTGCTAATTGTCATCGTATAAGTTGCAAGTTGAGTTACGCAGGTCAAGCTAGACTGCTTTTCCGCTCTGGCTGAATAACCTGTTATTCAGACACGCCTTGATACAATCCATACGTGAAGTAGGAATATTTCTGGCTTTCCGTGCACTTGTTTGGTGTGCGGATGTATTAACAGATTCGAGCACTCTGTAAGCTGTAGTATTGGTTGTCCGATTTCTTGAATAAGAGTTAGAAACCACGTTCTCGCTGGTCAGTAGGCCGCGACCAAATTCAGATGGAGGCTCTGCGTTTGACTGATTTGAGTAAACTTGTGAGATTAACGCTGGTGGCGGAAAAGCGTACGCATTGAGTCCTTCCCACGATAAGCTTAGTGCGTCTGTTGCCAATGCTAGTGGGTCTGGGACTGGCGATGCGAATGTGTCAGTTGTTTTTTTAATCGAGTGGCAAATAGGTCTATTAGTGGAGTTCCTATTTCCTTGATAATTTGAGTGAATATCTCTGTATGGAGCAATCATTCTGTCGGCGATGTTATGTGTGGCCGAGAAAGAGCGTCTGCTATCACATTCTTTGCTCCTGGAATGTGATATGCTCTGACATGTAAGTTGAGATTGTCGATTAAATCGAACAATTGAAACATAGAGTCGATAGGTTCGGGGACCTGGTTGAGCTTAGTTTGTTCACATAAAACCGTCACTGTCGAATTGACTGTGTGAATCAACCACTGAGTATACTGTAGTAAGTTGCTACATTGCATAAAGGCGTATCACTGCTTGCATCTCCAGCAGATATATGTGTTATCGATTCCAGCTCTTATTAACGAGACGCCTATTCAAACATTCGATCTCTTGTTCCGCCATAGTAGATGAGGTTTGACCTGAACCGGTAAATTGAACGGTAGAGATTCGTCTAGATGCGAATTGATGATGACTTGCAACGGATGTAATTGTAGTATGCCTCTGCCTGTCATGTCTTGAGCTGAAGTGCGTAACCCCAACAGGCTCTGCCACTGAGTAAGGCTTGTGGAATTGACTGTTGGATCTTGATCCATGGTCCTCCGGTACAATTATACGATTCTGCGCCGTTACAATTCAAAACCTAGAATTAGCAGAACTTGCGAAGGTTCTAGGTCCAACTTAAGTAGGTTTACTAACCATCTAGTTGTGTTAGTAGCTTGATGATGAAATTCAACTGTAGTCTGAGACGCTGTGGATTTGGATCCACTTGTATCCCGTCGTCTAGGTAAATTCGCTGCGAAGTCCTTGACGATGTAGGTGCACAACCAGGTGTAACTGTCATCGTTGAACTTTATGTAAAAAATTGCCTGACTGCCGTGCCCTCGTCCTTACTTGACAGGGGAGGTCTCTAACCTCAAGAAGGCAGCCCAATCATGAAGGTTCAGATTAGCTGGACTGTAAGGAGGTTTGCTCGTTCACTGATATATTGTTGTCACTTGCAACCTAAGTCTTGAACTGTGAACTATGATCGACTTCTGCGTAGGTCGTTGTCCATCGCGGTCCAATCAGAACAAGGCATTTTGATTCTGTAGAATACCCGCGCTGTGATGTCACCTGTGTAGCAGGAAAAGGAACCTTGTATAATATAGTGCCGTCGTTGATATTAGAACAATCGTCGGTCTTCACCGTAGCTTCCCGAAGTTACCCAAGTGACCACGTGTTTCGAGGGTTAATGGTAAACGCGCGAAACCTCTCGGCGCGAAATACCTCGCTCTGTAATATTAATGCTGGGTAGGTTATTTTCCTGGCTGTCGTGAAAGTAACTTCAGTCTTGAATATAATTCCGACTTCCTTATATAAAGGTACAATAAACTTGCAAGTTGTCAGCTTGTAGACTGTATACATGAATGCATCGTCATAATTGTAGAATTAAATCTGAACTTGTTGTACATATTTCTTCTCAGAAAACGTTGACGATTATGAGTTATACTCGCTGTAACAAGGCTGCTGTTCAATTTCGATATTGAATTGTCTGCAAATCTGCGTAATGGTCACGCATGTAGATAATCGTATCGTAGTCCGGGATTGCATATCTAGCAATCTATACGGAAAAGTTGATTCCTGTGAAGATCTATGAAACGTCGTTGACTAATTAATACAGCGACGTTCTGTGTTGTAAATAGCCTGTCCAATTGTCTTCGCGTAGGCTTGTAGACGGCATATGGCATACAGTTGATAGACAACTCATGCGATGTCTTGAACGGACTGACGAGTGGCTATATATGACGAGTGGCTAGTATATGGAGACCTTGGAGGAGACTTCCTCGGCGAACGCCGGAGACTTCGCGAAGCTCTCGAAGTATCCCTTCTAGATCTTCTGGGTGAAGTAGACTTGGAGCCACTTAGCCTTCGCGACCTTCGCGAAGGTATCGAGTCAGAGCCCGATCAATATATATGAGCGCTTGCTTCGCGAACGACCTCTGTGTTCTACAGGGTGTGGGCTCGGCGAAGCGCTCCTCCTCCGCGATGTCCCTCGCAACTGGAGAGGCTCTGGCTCCTTCGCGGAGGCGGCCTGGGACTTCCTTAGCGAAGTGTTTGCTATGGGCTGGGTTGCCCTTCGCGGAGGCTTTTCCCTGGGTGACCTTCTGGACGAAGATGACTCGTAGCCTGTTACTGTTGCCCTTTGCGAAGACCTTCGCGAAGCTTCATCTGAGTCCGGTCCTGGGAAGTGACGACTTGACCTTCGCGAAGCTTCATCTGAGTCCGGTCCTGAGAAGTGACGACTTGACCTTCGCGAAGGCTGGGTCCAGGGATGAAAGGATCTTCCTTTGCGAACCTCTTCGTGAGCGTTGATCATCGGCGTCCAAGGTAGGTGGTGATCTAGTTGTCCTTCGTGAAGGCCTTCGCGAATGCTGAACATCTGGGTCCTTCGTGGAGGTGGGCTGTGACTACCTTCGCGAAGGTGGCTTCCTCGACGATGGCTTTCCGTAGCAGTCGCTTCGCTGACGGGGGGTCCCTCTGATGTGACGTCTACGTTGGAGCCTTCGCGAAGGCTCAAGGCTGGTTGCCTCTCCGGACCATAGCGGTCTTACATCATCTTCATAATCTGACGCATCAGGTCGCCTGGGACGATTTGCGATGAAGTAGTTGCTGCCCTATCAGCGTTGGTAGCGACGGGACCCTCAGGAAGATCATCGAACATCAGCGTTGGTACATCAGGCTGCATGTTGATCTGCGCTGACATCACTGTTGCCGACATCGGTCATTCTTTTGATGTACATCAGGTATGATGATCGGCTGATCATCATACAGGCCCAAATCTGCGACGGGAACAATCTCGGCTGAGAAAGTCCTAGTAGACTTCGTTGATTTCCCCTCAGAGGTCGACGCTGCCCTGGGGGTGCGAAGTCTGCATTGAGATGAAGTAGAAGCCCTCTAGTCTTCGGCTGCGACGACGGGATGTCTGGGGAAGCAGGACGCTTCTTGGAGACGGCGGACTACGTCCCACGCCTCTCCACCGCTCTAGCGGAACACCAGACGGGAAGGGGGTCGACCAACAGCAGTAGACTGGCGAGGGGTTCAGGTGTATCAGTCATGGCTAGACTCTGCTTACGTGACCTATCTGCTGCGCGTCTCAAACGCAAAGTAAATATTTATTAAAGGCAGAATTGGATAAATTAGTACAGCAACTGCAACGTGAAGAAAATGAACATGGCGCAGTACAGCTAGGTCATATTAAATGCGGATCAGCAGCAGAAAAACGTAACCTGCAAACAGTACAGATTTTCATCAACGTAATCCACTGAACAAACACGGCGTCCCGTGAATAAACAGTAGAACCACGACTAAATATCAATACATAATTGTTGAAGGATACTAGCTAAACCTCTATAGATGCCTATAAGAGGTAACTAACTAAAAATAAACAAAGGATATAGTGTGTAGGGAGACACAGGCGCTCTCACATCCTGCTCACTGGGCGAAGAAGGAGAGAGTGAAGCATGAGGCCAGAAGGTGGCGCCGCCTTTCCCGCGCAGGGGCAAAGGGAGGCAACTCTTGGTGAGTACTAATTAGTGATTTTACATTGAAGGGAGCTTCAATTAAGGAGATACAAGTGTTCCACTATGTTCGCAAGAAGAAGAAGACAAGCAAAAGAGCATGAGTCAGGATAAGGAAAAATATAATATCACAGATCAAAGATATATTGACTTTATTAGTTATGCATAAATATCTGATCTCACCTGATGGTCTTGCACATCATCAACTTGTGCCAGTTCACTCTCCATTGCTTGGAGTTGGTTTCTCATATCTACAGCTCTGATGAAGACACAAGGATAACAGTAAAACATATGCATAATATTATGAAAGTAGTCCAATTAGACTTTCAAAAACCTTCAAGGAAAAATGAACTTGCTTGAATTTTAAATCTACATTCCAGTTTGATCGTAGTACAAGGCATCCAAAGATTACACATGAAGTTTTATTCCAAGCTTATGAAGGAATTTCACTAACTTGAAAGAAAAGAGTCACACGGCTCCAGCTACCTCAACAATAAAATTATGTGCTTTTTCATTTCAATATCTATTTTGACAGTGCACAGCACTTTCAACCATAAAGCCCCGAATTCCTACCAGGCTAACTTGACAAGAATGTACTTCTGGAATAATTACACTACTGCCTAAAAGTTCATTCCCTTTGAACGTGTTGGGAACGTGTGTAACACGTATGTGACATGGGTGTGCAACACGTTTGAGTCCCGTGTCACACGCGTGTGCAACGAGACACAGACGCGTGTAACACGGGACCAAGTTTCAGTTGAATTTGACGATAGGCGTTAGGGTTGCATACTTAGAATTGTATGAATTTTTAATTCGGAAATTTGCCAGTGGTCGGGGATGAACTATGGGATGGTTTATTTGGTACTTGTTTTATCTATTTTAATATTTTGGGTTTTTTTATTTTAAAGTTAGTACTTGTTTTGTTTATGTTTGTGTTTTGTGTTTGTATATTTTAAGTTAGTACTTTTTTATGCATTGATTTTATAATTAGTTAGCACTCAACCTGGTTATATGGGATTATGTGGGGGTATTCTCGGGACGTGGACACTCTGTGTCGTGTAAAAACAAAGTCCAGAAAAAAGTGTCCACTTCGTGCGAATGGGTTACTGAGCTAATTAACACCAGGCAATAGACAGAATGTGTGATAGCAAGATTTCAGGCAATACTAAATTGTGAAATTTTAAGGAAACGAAACAAGTTTCTTTTTACAGTTTTAAAAAAAAATTATAAGACACTGTGTCGGCAAACACAATGATGCTGATGTCCCCACGGTTATTAAACATCTACAAACCTTAGTTTCATTTGGAACAGCGGGGTGGTTGTGTGAGGATGTCGTTGACTGTAGATAGAGTTGATTTACAACCCTTGATGCCAAGAACACCAGTCATTTCTTCTTCTCTTCAGGATTCTGTATGTGTGCCCATTCACGCAGAAATATCTTCCACCTCGAGATGTTGGAAGAAATTTGTAATCTAACTGTACGCTTGCCATAGCGAAAGTTATGCATTGACCTCATTTTGTCAGAATTATATAGTACAATTTAATGACACTGATTAATTTACTCACTTAGCGTGTATACTTATCGGAGTGAACACATTTTATGAAATCAATCACCACTGCAAACAATTTCTGAGTGAACTCACTCACCTATCATAGTCATATGCTTACCACCCTTACCAGAGTGAACAGAGTGCACGACAGCTTAACAATTCTGGATAACAGTTCACATTTTATCACTTCCAGACCAGTTAATCCCTTACTTAAAAAACAGACGACATCAAGGGTAGACCGTCTGTCCACGTCCTTCGAATACAAAATTTCAGGTTGTCCACATCCTGAGAATGAACCTATATATGTGAACTCGAACGTCAGTGTTGATAAGAATTATACCAAAGGCTTTGAAAGTTTGGGTGTTATTTAGTGAGCTTAGAAGTGTTTGTAGTGCTAGTGTCCAGTGAACTCTGGAGCACCATTCTGTGCTGTTGGTAGTGTATGCAGTGAAGTAGGATACACACGCCTGTACCATGCGCGTAACATGGGATAAAGTTTCAGTTGAATTTCATAAAAAGCGTTAAGGTTGCATACTTAAAATTGTATGAACTTTGAATTCGGAAATTTGTAAGAAGTGGTCGGGAATGAATTACGGGATTGTTAAGTTGGTATTTGTTTTGTTTAGTTTTAGTTTTTGTTTTTGTATTTTAAAAGTTAGTATGTGTTTTATTTTTATGTTTTGTTTTTGTATTTTCTGAGTAAGCACTATCTGGTTATATGGGATTATATGCGAAGTAGAAGGCCAGTATTGATAAGAATTATACCTAAGGCTTTGAAAGTTTGGGTGTTATTTAGTGAGCTTAGAAGTGTTTGTAGTGTTAGGTGTGTGCTAGTGTCTAGTGAACTCTGGAGCACCATTCTGTGATGTTTGTAGTATATGCAGTGTAGTTGGCCGTTTCTGTTTCGTTGCACTGTGTGAATTTGTCTGTTTAGAATACAATTTGTATGGCCTGTTTGTAATTTGGCTTTTGTCTTGTGAATATTTCTAGATTTATGATAAGTTCGAAATAGTTTTTAAAGTGTTTTTATTTAATAGATTTTTTAGTTATGATTTTGAATGTAGCAAGAAATTTATCGCGCAGTATTGTCACTTCGACCCCCACTTAGCTTTCATGGAAGACATCGTTATGTTACAAGTTGTGTCATGCAAAATCCTTTTGGTCATGATTCAAATACATATTTAACTACAAGTAGATCAAAGAAGAAGATAAGTAAGTCATGTTTATACAATCAAAACATGTATGGGTGATGAAATTATACTAATGTAAGTACATGAGTAAGTCATGTCACACAGACAATGTACAAGATCTATTTGTTTAGTGTTAACAGCCAGTTGGGTAATACCCATTATTATGATAGGGGTGGTAGAACTGGCCATTATAATTATTGTAGGTGATATGAGGTGTAGGCGATATGAGGGCAAGCCGATCAAGGTAACATCGGCCAACGAAGAGTTTAAGCTAGTTAATCTAGTTTTGATTTTCTAACTTGATGAAAACAAACCATAATCTCATTAATTCTAACAGACTTTAGCCCGTGACTTCACGATTTTCAAAAATGGCGGTGCCCTGTCGCAAACATCCGCCAGTCTGAGGATAAATGCTATTTAGGTTTGTTTTCACCGAGTTACAAAATCAAAACTACTTTCTACTGGTAGTAAATTATGTATTTGATTGATGGCCAATAGGATTTTGCATGACATAGCTTATAACATAACAATTTCTCTCGTGGAAGCGAGGTGGGTATCAATATAATACTACTTACAATATTATTGTCACTTCGACCACAACCTCGCTTCTGAGGAAGAAATCGTTATGTTACAAGTTTTGTCATGGAAAATCTTTTGGGTCATCAATCATATATATATTGTACTACAACTACCGCATAAGACAAGATACTGTTAATAGCGTGGGGAGAAATGTCGACTAAAGTGACTACAACTGATGAGAGAGAGATATCTTGTACAGTACTGCACTATGTGTAACAACAAGAGTGAGTGAGTTGGGTTTTACGTCACTTTAAGCAATATTCCAGCAATACCACAGCGGGGGACACCAGATATAGACTCTACACCTTGTACCCATGTGGGGAATCAAACCTGGGTATTCGGCATGACGAGCGAACACTGTAACCACTAGGCTACCCCACCACCCCTTTAACAAGAAGAAGTAATAGATTATGGGTGATGCACACACACAGCACAGGTTGTGCAGCCAATATACAGAAAGGATTAAATTGTAAACATGCTGATTGGATGCTAATTGATTAACAGAGTATATATTTTAAACTCTTCGTCGGCCGATGTTACCTTGATCGGCTTGCCCTCATATCGCCTACACCTCATATCACCTACAATAATTATAATGGTCAGTTCTACCACCCCTATCATAATAATGGGTATTACCCAACTGGCTGTTAACATTAAACAAATAGATCTTGTACATTGTCTGTGTGACTTACTCATGTACTTACATTAGTATAATTTCATCAACCATACATGTTTTGATTGTATAAACATGACTTACTTATCTTCTTCTTTGATCAACCATACATGTTTTCATCGTATAAGCATGAATTACTCACCATATTATGTAGGATATTTTGATCAACCATACATGTTTTTGTAGTATAAACATGACTTACTTGTCTTCTACTTTGATCACCTAAGCTGCTTTTTCTGTGTTAACAAGACCTTCTCATCTCATCTTATTCTTTTTTGCAATGTCGTATATAAACACACTCAGCGTCAAAATGGCATAGCTTCAGAGAGCTGAGTTTGTTACTTCATATAGAGACGGTGCTTCATGCTGGATACTGATACAGACGACGCCAGATTTCCCTGTAATATCTGAAACCAGTACGAGAACACCGGACCTCGCTCAAACAACCACCTGGAGGGGTTTCACAATGGACTAAAGAGGAGAATGCCCCGGTCAAATCCAAACATTTACCAGTTGATAAAAGAAATCAAGAAGATTAAAACAGCAGATAAACGGTTTAGACGACAGACAGGTCATGGTGGTGCTGTGAAACGCCGTGCACGTATTGACAGGGACAGAGATGCCCGAATTGAGAGACTAAAGCTACACTTTGATCATGGTAATGATATTGGAAATTTTAACTATAAATTGTACATTTATATACTTATCCTATCTCACAACTTGCACCTCTCTCTCTTCATTCGACCATGAGTGGAAACGAATTAACCTTTGATCCAGGCCTACCTTGTCCCTGTCCCCGTGCTGTGCATGCCTTCCTGCTTTAGCCATGCTCACTAGTCCGTGACAGCACGTGGCATGCGCAGTCCTCACCCACGTGATCACCTTACATACTCATTCTCGATCTTGGAGCCATAAAAGGACAAAACCGGGAACGATGGTAATCTAAGTAGTGGGGAGGTAGGGTGGGACTTTATCGCATGAGATAGAATAAATATACAATTTATGGTTAAAATTTCCAAATTTTTAAACTTATCCTATCTCACAACTTGCACTTATCCCACGGTAGGAAGGTGGGTCATAGATTACCCGAAGATCAAGCGATAACAGCTAAGCGTTATGCCGAAACAACCGTAGGAAGCAACTACAAGGCAGGCCAATAACTACCAAAGTTACTACGTGCGAGGGTTAGTTCGAACCCATTGACTTACTAAGCACAAGTGCTCCCGGGATTCCTGAGCAATGTGGTGTTCAGTCACTACCTTCACGA